ATGTAATTGAACTTTTTTTTTTTTTTTTTTTTGATTTTAGAATTCAATACTTTAGAAAATTTCACGAAATTTCATTAGTTCTAATAGAAAATGGCAACTAAGATTATCTAAGAAATATTACAAACAATAAAAGCATTAGTTTACTAAATACATTTAAATAATTTACCTTTTTAAAATAAATAAAAAATTAAAAATATATATAATTGTCTCACTGTAACGAGTAAGACAATAAAATGAATTTTCAAAAAATTCTAAAAAAATAAAAAATTAAACGGGTAGTAAATGGTGCAAGGACCTCACCCCGTCCCACTCTGCTTTGAATGGGTAATGAGGCGAGTATGGAGTGGGAAATTACTCGGCGGGACGGGGCACGAGAGATGTTGCCCCAACCTCGACCAGCATCATTGCGATCCCTAATTTAAATATTCAAATAATAAATGTTTTAAAATCATAGATTAGGCTCAAGAATGATATTTTCACACGCGTGAATTACACTGTGTCAGGTTGGAGGCTTCAAGTTTTGAAACTGAATGAATTGGATTTGGAGTATTAAATGAGATGAGGCAAGTCGTCTCTCAAAACTTGAGCTCGGATCGCGAGCTATCCGTGACTCATTGTTTTTTTTTTAATTCTAAAATTGTCTTTTCACTCCTATAAGTGTAATGAAGACGTAAATTTGCAAGAAAGAAATTATAAATTTATATAATCCTCTACTTTTATCCGGATTTGGAATTGGCCATAATACATAGACGAAATTAAAACTGTCAACAAATGAATATTTAATACACATTTTTTTTTAAAATAATAATCATATAAAACAATAATTTAAAATTAAAACATAATTACACTTACATTTGTAGTCTGTAGTTACACATTTGTAAAGATATTGAAATGACACCACCATCATGTGTTTCTATTTAGTTGTTTTATTGCCTACATCTCGATGTAATATATGGTCTCACATGAGACAATATTTATGTAAGTATTGATAAAATTGCAGGTTTTGTGAACGGTCCAACGCTGCATTGGACAATATCAAATATTAGAGCTTGTTTGGGAGTGATTAAAATCAAATTAAAATTTAAAATACAACTATTGGAGTTGATTTTTATTAAACGAGTGAGACCTAATAACGGCTATATTTTCAATTTTAATTGGATTTTAATCCTTCCCAAACAAGCTCTTAATAAAATTATGCATTCCAATATGAAAGTATATTGAATAAATCAGCCTCTACTAATGTCTCGTTCCACGTTAGTGATCCAAACATTTTGATTTCATGCATTTCAAACTTAGGAAAAGTTAAAACTATGTACTTCAAACCATGATACAAATTATACAGTTTTATAAATCTTCCTCGTAACAAGGACATATTTGAAACGAAGGTAACATCTAAAGTATTTTGAAGTAATTGCAAGTAATGTTTGACCCCAAGCAATTTGAGATGATATAGCTAATAAGAGCTAATTGATACACGATGAAAGATAGTTTTGAATGTGTTTTCCATTGCGCCACATACTTGAGATAGTGGAGAATTCTCACCCTCGTTCTATAAGAAGTCTAAAGAAATATTTAACAAAGATTGTATAGTAGAATTTAAATTGAGGAAACACAATTCAAATTAAAAAGAGAACGCAAGTACTTTTAACAAGTTATCTACAATATATTAAAAGGAATGATTGAGCAGAAACTTTTGAATATCAATGTTACCTTTATATCTTTCTACTTTTGACAAAATGTCCTTAATTATGAATATACCATAATGGTTAGTAGTTAATAATTATATTATATTATAAATCCAAAAATTAATTATAATTCAATTTCATGTAATCTCAGTTAAATATAAAAGAAAAAAATATTCATAAATTCAATATTTTTATTTGAAGTACTTAAAATTATGTATTGATCAAAATAAGTTTTATGGTGTTTGGTGGGGATTAAAATTAAATTTTTAGTAGATTGTGATAAAATTTTTTGAAATGTGTGGTTGAAAAGATATAGTCAATATTAATTGTTTGACTTTGACTTTGAGTTAGATTAAAATCAGATTTTAATTCGACCCAAAAAGACCCTTAATCACTTAAAAATTGAAGCTCATCTTCTATACATAATCATATTATATAATTATAGTAGAATAGATAAAAATCAAAATTCCATTTCCAATTGTAAAGGATAACACTTAAACAATGTTCTAAAATGCGTAATGCGTTGCGATGCGTCGAGGTCGAGAATCAAGAATCACAAGTTTAAGCGTGTCAATGCGGAGAATATGCGTCATAATGCGTGTCGTATATTTAATATTA